GGGGGGAGCACAATATCAGACTTTGAAAACTCCTGGTCTAAAGACTTCTGTAGAGTTCCTTGTTAACTATTTGGCACATATACGTACATCATTTTCATATTGTGGCCAAATGTACAGACGTATGCATACCAGCACATATGTCATATCCTGACATAAATAAAAAATGTCATGCACTACAGAGGTGTTCGAATGCAGCAACATAAGATGGTAACTACAGTATATTCCACTGTAAACTAGTGCAAAAAAGGATAATGAGGTTACGCCGTTGATTAACTACAGTATTAGAGAATGATTTTGGCTTTTGTGGTGGGTTCAAGACGGTCTGGATCACACAGACTGGAAACAGAAGCACTCTTGTGTAGTGTGGAAACTGGGCATGTGAAATAACAGCATAGTAAAATGAGGGTGACAAGCAGTGCGGCTGCTCCATACATCCATACACGAAGGCTTAAAGGACAGATTCACAATTTTTCATGCTTCAGAAATAGCCATATGCTCATCTGAACACTGAAACTGTTGTAGTTATAATTATTTAAGTCTATACCAAGCATCCATATGTAGAACTACGTATCATTTGTTTAGACTTAGACTTCCAGTTCATGCAAAAACACATTAGAATTTATGCTTGTTATTAATATTATAAATATTCTTTTGAAAATCTGGCTTAAAAGAGTAAAGTAAATAATTTCCAAGGTTTTAAATTTCATCTTTGTGTCAGGTCAAGTCAAATTATTATAGGGTGTGTATAAAAATGAATAACTTTAAAAACTAGCTATATTAAAACAATTCTATTGCAATATAAGAAGGGTTGATTTAAAAAATCGAGTATATGGCCTTTTTTGAATTATCTGCATAAACACTTTTTTTAAACTTTTTTTTAGCTCTTATTGACTGAATTTGGATCATTTTAAAGGTATAAATTAAAAGGTCTTGTCATTCAGTTTTGTGCAGCCCTTAGTAGAACACCCTGAACACAACAATTTTTCGAGAGATGTTGTTTAGTTGTTAACATTTGCCAAAAATAAGCATAGTGGATTCTGCCCACTATCACCTAAACTGGAAGCACATTGTGTAGGGTATGTCTTCATGGCTAGTTTTACTGTTTCAGTGTTCACACAGGCACCTGACTTTTTCATTTATCATACCTGTAAATGTTTTTACCTATTATTTAAAGAGCCCATATGTGCCCATAGTTTTTGTTTTTTTTTTGTTTTTTTGGATTTGGGTCAGAGATGTGAGGTGGCTTCATCTTCTTTAAAGGGAAAGAGAGGCCAATGGGACTCATCTCCCATACTTCACACACACTGATAATTCAGTCATTTCAACATTCGAGCTGAATCACTTCGGCTCATTCTTTAGTCCATTTGGTACAAATACTGAAACATCTTTGTGAGTGAAAGCTCTCCCTTCCAGTTCAGTCTGAAATGAAACAGGCTCCAGGTCCAGCCTGCATTATATCCTATGAGAAAAAAGAGCAAATACTCAGGAAACACCACAAAAGTGTCTCCCAGCAGCAGCAACTATGGGAAACAAAACACCACCAGCAGGTGGATCTGAGGTATTGCAAGCAGATGAATATATATATAGATATATATATAAATAAAGGGATAGTTGCTGTGGACTGTACAGAGTCTCAGTTGTTGCTTTAATGCTGCATGCCCTGTTTTTCTGCTTTCTGTCTCCTCTGCAAAGAAAGTGTCTTGTGGGATATTAAGGCCTTGGATGGCCCAGAGGCCACACGGAAACAGAAAATACTACAGAGTTTCACACAGGGTGGAATGAAAACTGATTGGCCGACCTGCTATCAGTATGTTTTAAGAAGCATGAACAGAACTGATCTGTGACTAAGACGACAAGTACTTTCCTCTGTGATACAGTATATTTCACAAATCCAGCCCTTATTGTTCAAAGGATCAATTCATCCAAAATACACATTTCTTTATTCATATCTTTTGGTATCTAAAAATAGAAAATTTAGAGATTCTTTTAAAATCTCTGCCAGCACAATACCATGAAGGTAATTCGTTTGTGGTCCATTACACTTAACTCAATGCTAGCATTCTCATGCTATCATTTCTCCAGTAACAATGCTACAAGCTTTTTTTCTAATCTAGTTTAGCTTGTTAGCATGGTGATTTTAGGTGGTAACAAAGAGAGTTTGGACCCTGGCAGACTCTCAGGTACATTTTCATGACAGAAAATACTTCCACCTACATTTACATCATCTTAATGTTTAGATACTTCTGGACAAATAAAACCAAAAAGTACCAGCCAGATAAATAGGGTGGAGTAAAATGGAATTGGAGAATTCTTTATGAAGCCAGCTGACAGGCTGTTGGTAAGAAATGGGAAGAGAGTAACTAAACCATCTAATCTAACAACCTTCTGGATGGATTTTGTTTACACTAACATGCTGTGGCTAGTTAAAATAGCTACTAATATGATCTCTTTTGGTAGAGTTTGGATGAACCGATCCTTTACAGTAAGGTCTCCATTTGGTCTCTCCTTACTTTTTGTTAGATTTGCCTTTCTGTTTTTTGGTCTCTACTTACTTTTTGATAGATTTGCTTTTCTGTTTTTGCATCATGAGGGTTTTCTATACTTATTGCCAGTCACTGCTGTGTTCCAAAACAGTGGAAAAGAAACTCAAGTGTAAATCACTGGCCCTTTGCCACGGTTGCCAAACAAACTTAGCCTCAGTCCCATGGTTGACTGTCTGAAGATCAATCTGGCTCTGCAGTTTGTCCTGAGCTCATGAGTATAAATGTTTATGTTGTTTGGAAAGGAGAAGGGAGGGTTTCCCGTTAGACGAGATTAGTTTAAGGCTTACAATTTCTTTTTTTAATCCTTCCTTTGTCATTTTTTTAAATAGTGGTATATCCTATAAAAGTATTACTGTAAAAGAGTCATGCTACAGAACTGTTTTGTTCTCTAGATCCCACTTGGCCTGATTAGTCCACTCCTCCTGGACAGATCCCTACTTATCGCTCCTTCCTAATCTCTATTAATTATGGGTTATTTATGCTGAACCATCTGTGTATTCCTTCCACAACCCCATCATCCACACCCTCCCATCTTTTCTTCACCTTTCTATCTTTTATCTTAGTCCAGAGATCATAGTGGCTCGGCCAGGGTCCTTTATACCAAAGCTTTTATTTAAACATTACTTGGGGCCATGTAAGCCTACACTGCCCTCCTTGGTGCTGCTGCTGCGCCCCCAGCACCCCGCAGCTATACTCATACTCCTCTGTGCTGCTGCTGTGACCCCTCTATCGCGCTCCACTTCACACTGGCTGAGCGTGCGCTCAGTCCGGCCGGGCTGGCTGGGTGAGCATGACCCCGACCCTCCAGGCTGCTGAGAGGAGATGGTGCGAAAGATGTGGTTCCGTTTCCGGAGGAAGTCTCCTCCAGCTGTGCCCAGAGCAAAGCTGCCCTTCCGGAGGACCATACGGGTACTGGCGGTCTTGGCAGGGCGAGACCTTTGGTTGTACTCCAGCTGAGATAGGTGGGAAGCATAGCCATCCAGGATGAACTGGAACAGATTAACAGTCAATTAAACTGGGTTTACTCAGCATCAATGCACAGACAGAAGGTCCCCTGACAGACCCTAAACACTCAGCGATTAATCATGTAAAATATTCATGGCCTAATTAGTTCACAATGAAACTATTTTACAGCTGTACACCCACTCAGATAAAATAGTTTCATTGTGAACTAATTCATAATGTACCACAATTATTTACTATCAGACCTGGCACTGGTGCTGCATTTTCTTCGTGGGCCTTCCCACTATGTAGATATGAGATGGAGGCAGGCCAATAGAAGTGTACACTGATATGTCCTTGGTGGAGCCATAGGCAGCAAATATCCTCATGTTGGCCTAATCAAATACAAAGAGTTTAAACTTTTAGACATTGGAAGGATTTTGCTGCATTGCTATTCCAGACTCTCCCTGCCCTCACTTACCTCGTTGATGAGGGTTTTGAGGAAGTTGGCCTTGTGTCGGAGAGGGTCATGTACCAGGCCGTCGCAGAATGAGACGATGCCATTAGGGAAGTTATGCTGGGAGAGCCAGGCAACAACACGCTGCTTCTGCATGTCAGGACGACCTGTGACATACACTATCAGATAGCCCAAGTCCTGCCAGTACCTGCAAACAATAAAGAATAAGAATCCTGAGAAGGAGTCGCGTTTGGATTAGCTGACTTCCATGCTAAAAGGGAGTGATATGTTGTTCAGAAAATCAATATTCTGCCATTACTTCACATAAATATTCCCAAGATGCAGCACATGTAAAAACTACAAATACCAGGGGGGTAGTATTTATTCTCAATAGTTTAGAAGAAAACTATAAAATAACATATATGGAATTAAAAATGTGTGAAAGAAAATGTGTTTTTCAATTTTACATTTTTCAAAACTTTCACCTTTGGCTGTAACAGTAATGTGTAAGCTCCACACAACAATTAGTCCTGCAAGTACCTGAGCTGAGAGAGTGGAGAACCCCAGCCTCAGTACCTTTGTCCATGCAGCAAGTAGACCATGTGTTTGTGGTCATTTATCCATTTATGCCTTCACTGTGGAGAGGAATGTTTTGCATTGTGTGATGTTTTTGACCTAGAGAAGCAATTCTTGTGTTGCTTCTTCTATCTTACTAATATACAAAAGGGGCAGACTTTAGACCAGATTCAAATGTGAGATATGTGGCTCCATGTGAGATGCAGAGAAAGTGAACTGCTCATATCTGCATATGCATTTTCCACCATGAAGTATGGAGAACAAGTTGCCAAGACAACATTCCACAACAATCTGTTTTGGTCTTTGCCACGGAGTTTTTGTTTGTGTCCACAACTTTGATTTGTACTATCTAGACGTTTTACACTATATATTACTGCAGAGTAGTATTCCTACCAAGCATGCTGGTGTTCTCCTTACCTTACCACATCCACAGCTCCTGCTCGAACCTTAGGGTCACTCCCCATTATTGAGACGCTGGCAGCAAATGACCCGTCAATGCTGAATACAACAAACTCTGTTCCTCGTGGTACAATAGTAAGATAGCTGTCTGCAAATGTGTGGTCGCCCCTATTAGAGAAACAGCGACTGGTAAATATGATGAAATTCATACATGTATGCGTCTCTCCTTGTGAAATAACTACAACTCAGCATACCTGACCACCATTTTGACAGGATATACCCCGATACCCAGCCTCTTGCTCTCTGGAATTACATAAGAGACACGTCCACTGTTGTTAGTGAGCTCCGTGTCAAAGTACACCCACTCTCCAGAGGGAGGCTGGGTCATGATGTGAATGTCAATCTGCAAGAAAAAGAAAAAAAACAAAAACAAAACATGGCTTGAATACAAACCATCTCTTTTTTGTTGTTGTTCCTAACAGCCAAACATGTCAGTCATTACCTTTTCTCCAGTTAATGTGACCATGTCCAGAGGACCATACATGAAACGTCCCGTCAGTGTCTGCACTCCATCCTCTGTGAACACGGCGTCATTCACGCGATGATTAGCTGTCACATTCTGAGAAGCAACCAAAACAGGAAATCAGTTTCAATTCTCTAAAGTCTCTCTTGAGACTTCTCTTACTGTTTTTGCTGCCAAAATGAGATGACGAGAACTTGACTGAAATGTTAATCAGCTCATTAGAGGTGCTTTTTTCCTAAATTGTTTGTCCTGTGAAATGCCTCTTTGGCACCTTTGGGACTACCGTATCGTTTTCAAGGACTTTTTGGACACCTTTTTTTCCAGAATAACTGAAATCCTCTACTTATGTCTTGCTGCTTATATCTTATGCAGGGCTATTCTATTCTATTCTATTCTATTCTATTAAATGTTTAGAGAGGAAATATTTTCTTGGTAGATATGCTAGTAACTAACAGATATCTGAAGTATGAAAATCAAAAAACGTGCTTAATCTTTAACAATAACTTATACACAGCCTTGTCAAAAGAAAGTAATGATAATCTAATATTTAGTTGGAACAAATTTAGCTTGGCATTATTTCAAATGTTTTATGCTTAGCATGTAAGTGGGGTTAAGATAATCGGGTAGGTTAATTAAAGTTGGATGTGAACTAGATGTGAACTAGATGTGAACGTGAACAGTATGACAATGGCTGCCTGTCTCTCAGTGTCGGCCCTGTGACAGGCCGGCGATCTGTTCTGGGGGTTTCCTGGCTCTCGCCTTATGGTAGCTAGGATAGGCTCCCCCATGACCCTTAATTGGACAAGCAGAAGAAAATGGATAAATGGATGGCTCTAGTATGTGTGACATGACATTTTCTGATGATAAATTAGTCTTTTAGGGAACGATGCTGAGGTCTCCAAAGTTTGGATCATTAGAAACTCAGATTTTCTTTGTAAATTTGCCTTTCAGGTAAATTAAACATCCATTTTTCTCCCTTTGTGTCATTTTTTGCTGCTGCTGAAATACTTCTAAAGCCAAACCTATGCCCTCCGAAAATATAACAGAGATACTTTATGGATGTTTAAGTCAAAAATCTCTCTTTTGTATCCACATCTTAAAAGTTCAGCATTGCCTCTGTCAGGTGGAGATACCATAAAGACCTCTTACCCGAATTTTAACATGAGTCCTCTTTCGAAGCCACTTCTCCCGAGGTTTTGAAGGAGTAAATTCAGACACTTCTTTACCATCCAGCTCCAAAACACCAGAATTCTCATGTCTCATTACCTGCAACAGGAAATGAAATTAACATTAATCAGAAGAATGAAAACGCTGTGTATGAATGTCTATGATGTAGATTCTGTTCTCTTTAATGTTTATGGGGGGAAAAAGAAATGTAGAAAGCATGGTGAACCTATTGTACCAAATTTTCTGTAAAGGAATGGAGTCTTATATTTAATTTTAAAAAAGCAATGACTGAGATTATCATCCCTGGAACTATGCAACTTAAAACACTTTAGTGATTACAAATCAAAGAAATAAAATCAATTGAAAGAGAACCTGTCGGAGTATAAATGAGACAACGTCCGTCGATTCCCAGTAGGAGGCATGGAAAAGATGAGGCAGAGCCACGGTTGGAAATGCTGTCAGGGCATCAGGACAGTAAAGAGCATAGTCCATCCTCTTACTGCCCCACCACCGAGAGGCAACTACAGCAGTGAGGGGAAAAACAGACAGTCAGAACGTCCACTGTGCTGATTTTAGTTAGTGTTTTTCACTGAAGGTTTGACTAAGAGGCACTAGGGCTAGGTTAAAACTGGACAGTGGTGAGTAGTAGAAAGGTTTGAAGTGTACACTGTTTCCTCTCTTTTTTTCTTGTAATGCAGTGGTTCCCAACCTTTTTGACTGATATATCCCCAAAGCCCTCAAATATCCCTCCACCGATACCACAGTGTGTTCCAAACATGATCCCAATGAATGCTATTTTAAACTCTACGATATTTTAAAAGACACGTGTGATTAACTGTAGTGAAGCAATTCGTCCATTCTTTGTGTTGCAAAAGTAAAAAAATGTTTGTTGTTACTGTTGTTACTGTTTAGGGCGATCGCGGCTCAAGAGTTGGCAGTTCGTCTTGTAATCTGAAGGTTGCCGGTTCGAGACCCGGCTCAGACAGTCTCGGTCGTTGTGTCCTTGGGCAAGACACTTCACCTACCGCCTACTGGTGATGGCCAGAGGGGCCGATGGCGCGATATGGCAGCCTCGCTTCTGCCAGTCTGCCCCAGGGCAGCTGTGGCTACATCTGTAGCTTGCCTCCACCAGTGTATGAATGTGAGAGTGAATGAATAGTGGAATTGTAAAGCGCTTTGAGGGTCTCGAAAAGCGCTATATGAATGCAGTCCATTATTATTATTATCCACGACTTGTATTTGTCCACTGTTTTATCTATGAACTGTTAATATCCCTAAACTGCAATATATGACTTGGATACAGCAATTTATTTGATATGATGAATTTAGTTAGCGCTTATAGAAATAAATTAGTACACATCAATTTTTACTACTATTTGGGCTGTTTTATTTTCCCACATAAATGGGATCTCTTATGCTCATTTTTATCTCCACAGATTTATTTGTAGCCACTACTAGTGTATCCATGATTCATAATGCTAAAGCATCGGAATTTACTTATAGTGGGCTTTGGTGCCGTCTCTGTCTTAAACAAAGTGTTTAACTTCCTTCACGCTTTGTTTGAGATAACTTTCTTTTGACTGGCTGCATCTTGCAACCAGAAGGTGTGATCAACAGGTGGGTGGGGCTTCTGCGTGCCTGAGATGATCACATTAGCAATATCTGCTCTCAGTGATGTCATATAGATGTAGCAGCAAGGGGAAAGTCTTTAGAGCAATCTGAAGCTTTAGGCTCACAGGGATCACTTACACATATAGTACACTGACCTTCTTATTTAAAACTTAGACCATGTTTAATATCAAAATCGATCGTGTCATAAAACATCAGTATATATTTTTTGAGATTTTTCTGCCAACACCAAAAGTAGCTACTGAGGTACAAGTAAGCCTGATTGGGAATCACCACCAGGACAAGAAAACAGTGGTTCTCAAGGAATTAAGTTCAGAAAGGCTCACAAGAAGGATTATGGACCTCCAGTGTAATTACTGTAACTACTTGGGAGTACTATCTGAGAGAAAGGAAGAAGCCAGAGGAGGAAGGAAAGAACACAGGGAATGAATACAGATTGTAGCATCCTTCCCTCAAGCTCCTCTTACTACCTTTCTCTATGTTCTTCAGCACCCTGGGCGACGGGGGTGCCGAGCTGATGTCAGTGATGTCAGACGTAACATCAGTGAGGTCAGAGGTCATGTCAGAAGTCATGTCAGAGCTAACGTCCGAGCTGTGCTCGGACTCCACACCGTTGGATCTCGGAAAAACCTGACGAATTTTCTTGCGCAACTGAGGCGGTGTGCTCCGAGAGGCAAATCTATGGTAGGGTAGATGCAGCTGTGACAGCAGACTGGGCCTTTTAGTGTGGCTCACTTCACATTTGCTTGCTAAGAGGATGTTTGGAGGGAGGAAATGAGAATGTCAACATGTAAACTTCCAGCTTCTGGACCAAAAATTAGGTCAGAGACACAATGTCAGAGGTCAGCTTACTCGTAGCGATGTTGGAGGCGGTGTAAGAGTCAGCTAAGCCTGACACCTGGCTGGCTATGCTGGCCTCACTGGCTCTACGGGTGCAGCGAAGGTGAGGAATCCCTGGTGATGTTGATGATGGATGCTGACCATCAACAAGAGTATGGGAGTGAAGGGTATCCACTGCGAATAAAGAGGAGTTATAGTCATATTCTTTATTCACATATGATCAATTATTTCTATGATTATGAATAATTCAAACACCAATATAAAATAATGATATTTTTAATCACTCATGCAAGGAGAAACAAGTTGTAAATACAACATGTTACCTTTTGAGTTTTAACCATTTGATAAATTTAAGTCTCACGTTCACTCTTTTAACTCTGTTTTTGGTTTCCTCCAGATATCTTCCTGCTTAGCTACTGCATGTTCCACTATTTTTACCCAATAGTCAAAGAACTCTGTTTGCTATTTGCTGCTGAGCAGTTAGTGTAAAATCGCTTTTTAGTGCTTCATTTGTCTGAGAAGAGACAGGAGTCTGAAGTGGCAGAAAAATTAGAGTCATTAGAGTGAACCAAAATGATAAAACTGCAACCAGCTCGCTAATCAAATAATAGAACCTCAAAATGAATTCAGTGGGTAAATACAGGTTTACCCGCAGCAGATGGCTGTTTGGTTCTAGTTTGGTTCTGTTGGATATTTCTTCCTGTTAAAATGGATTTTTTTTTCTCTCCACTGTCAATAGGTGCTTACTCATAAAAGGTTGTATGATTGTTGGGGTTTTCTCAATATTATTTTAGGGGTTTACCTTACTCTGCAACTTCCCTGTTGGCAAAACAGGTGTTTTGAACCCCACAAACAAAAAAAGCAACTGAGCCATAACTAATGTTAGGGAAATCTGTTGATGTTTATGAAAGAGCCATAAACATCAACAGATGAACCAGCCAATATACTGGAATATTGTATTTTTTAATCTCCAAATATCAGTAATGGTCTTAAAAAATCCTATATTGTTAGAAGCTCTAGTTTTAACCAAATCCAGACCACATTAGAAAAAAATAATAATAACAGGATAAAGGAGATAAAGAGAACAAATACACACTCTCTGTGTTGCTCTGGGAGGTCTGCCAGTTGAGGACAGGCACAGGGATGCAGGTCTCACTGACAGTGCTTTCCTGGTTCCGATGTGATGCTGTACTGCCAGACTCTATCAGAAGCTGGGGGTTACTTTGCACAGTTTCAACTAAGCCAGACAAGGGGTAGAAAAAAGTCAACAACTTGTATTACATAAAGTTCTGCAGCAAAATGTCTCAGGAAGTGTGCCTTTCTTTTTTGTCTGTGTTTGCGTGTGTGTCAACTCACCCAAGAGAGCCGAATGTCCATCACCCAGAGGAAAGCGCTGATAGCGGGAGACGCTACAGGGAGGCAGCAGGTAGAACCTCTTGTCTAGGAGAGGCTCAAGACGAGAGGCGGATGGGTCAGCTGGATGAAACATGTTGTAAACCTGCTGGCAGGCTGGACGCAGCGCCGACACTAGCGCAGGAAACACAGCAAGAAGTTTTAAATAAACAGACTGGTGTGACTAGTAACACGGGACACTGTGTATACAAACTATAACTTTAGATAGTAGGCTGGAAAATACATTACAGTTTTACTGAGTTACATTGATGCAGTTCTCACATCATCGATGTAATTCTCTCCACTCCTTTTGGAGATCATTTATCTGAATTTCATTAGTGGGACCACACCTTGAAGCACACCCTTTCTCAAAAATGAGAAGCTGTTTGTTCTTGTTTTTGTGCCTTACCCTGTCTCCTTTTTTCAATTAATTCATTTCTCATTAGTACATTGGGATCTTTCCCCTCTGAGGCCCTGAGGCCTTCCCCAAACCACAGCCTCAATTCATGCTCGAGTCATCTGCCATTATCTACTATCTACTGCTGTAAAACCTAAATGAGGATGTGGTCCCGGCTAGTGAAATGCAGTTCTTAACTCTGTAACACACTTCCCCACTAACTTGAGAATTTGTTATTGTATTTGCACACACTGCTATTGTTTCTACCCATTAGCACCACACACATTTTGTTATTGTCTTGAAGCACTTCTCGTCTGAATCTCATAACTAATCAAAACATTTTCCGTAACACTGCCCGGTATTGCATTATTGTTTTTAATGAAATCCCTTCAGACTTCTTTCAAAGTCTGTATGAAAGACTAAGGCCAGTCACACACTGTCAGTGGAAGAACAGTTTTCCTCGATCGTTTTGGTGCAATTCTCCCATCAGAAAAGTCACTGTCACTACTAAATTTGGATGAGCAGCTGACAAATCTGCAACAACTCTGCTCTGAAACTTGTACTAACAAGGTGTACTTAATAAAGTGCTCAGTGAGTTTGTACAGTATGTATAGTATACACATGTGTGTAATTGGCAGTGCCATGACATTCACCTGTAACACAAGATTGTGAGTATTTATTTCCAATTGTTTCAACTAAACTTCTTCTGACAACGTGTTACTATTTGCTTTTCCCAAAGGACAATTTCACTGCTAACACCGAGAGTGTGTGAGTGGATTTGCTCTTTCATACATGTTTGAAAAAAGTTCAAAGTAGCTTGATTGAAAACACTAATGCCGTGCTGGACAGTATTCAAGAAAGTGACAGATGTAGAGTTCTGACTAAGAATTATATAGGTTCGATCACTGGCTTCTCACGGTCCTTGAGCTCTCTAATGCATCCATCACAATATGAATGTGTGTTTATGTTAGATAGAAAGCACATATACAGAAAAAAGTGCATGTGTGTATGAGGCAAGTTTTTGGTGCTCAGGTAGAGTAGAAGCACTATATAAGAACCAGTCCATTTAGTACTAAATTATAAGTAGAAACAATAGCTGATGTGAGAATTGCACCAAAGTGATTGATAAAAACTGTAATAGGACTGTCGTCTTTATATAAAGCTTGACAACTACTTTGCTGATGTAAACTTTCCACTGGTCTTGGTCTGACTACACCATAGACTCTCTAGTGTTTGTCACAGTGTCTACAAACAACAGCAATAAAAAAAACTATGCCCATATGAAAAATAAAAGAAAATGTGTATAACCACTTAGAATTCCAAACAATCAATGTTTATATCCCATCATAATCACTTTGTTTTACACTTAAACTACTGTAGTATGTCCTGTTTGAAATCATACCTTTATCCATATGAATCTTTGATTCATTAAGCTACTAGGTGGTATAAGCTTTGTTTATATTTAATCCTATGTCTTATGCCCTAATTTGATGTGTGATTGTACTGTCATATTTCAAGAGTAGGGAGGATACTGTATTTTTGTGGCATGTTATTTAGGTGATAGATAAGAATATCCTCACCAGTGGTAATTCCAGGACATTTTCAAGGCAAGCAGCACAAAAATATTTGACTCTTTATGTATTTTATCAGTATAAGAGACCGATAAAACTGCATCTACCAACAACTTATTTTCATAATATTGAATGTTTTAAAGTTATTCCGATATTACTTTGGAAAACCATGAGAAATAAATGGCTGTGTAAACAAAGAAATGAAACTAAACATCCGACAGCAACTGTAATGATTTCCTTTTTTTTTTTTTTTAAAGTCCACATGTTAAGCCAACAGCTGCAGGTCAGTAATCTGTTTCTTTAAAACCTCAAAGGACACAGTGCAGTCAGACTTGTGGCTGTGTAAGCACTTCTATCACATATTTCTCTTTTTCAGCCTTTGAGATCAAAAGCATGACTTCTAACCTCTGACACCTGCCTCCCAGCTGCTGGAGACATGCATTTCACACAGGAAGAAACACAAAGTGCTACAAATAACCACTTCCTGCTTTGACCTGTGACGAACATCAAATTAGACCAACAGCAAAATAAATGATAGGAGCATAAAAAGGGAGAAAATCCTTCCCCACCATCCAGAGTGGGCACCACAGTCTTCCTCAGTGCAAGCACGAGCCCGAGTGGAGAGCCGAACAGGAAGAAGTCAGTCACTTCAAATTCGAACTTCCCCAGAGATCCTCCCTCCAACATGGTGCTGTTGCTGGAACGCCGGGATCCAGCCTCTCTGTGGAGAACGCTGGCGTGAAGGCTGCCCAGAAAGAAACAAAATATAACACATTAGAAGAAATCTTTGAAGGATTCGTGGCATTTGTTTTAAGTTCTGTGTCTCACCTAGAGAGGAAGGCTTGGTGGTGTTTGATGGTGTCCAGCTCGTACGTGGAGGAGTCGCTGCGTTTGCGTGGAAGCTGCTTCTTGGGGTCGTCAGGCCCAGAGCAGTGAGGGATGTCAATGTTGCTGCGGCTGAGATGGCGGCTTCCTTCGAGGGATGGCGAGGAAGAAGAGACACTGTTTATGACGATACCAGGAGAAAGAAGTTCTGTGTCCTGAGAGAGAGGGATGAAAGAGGATACTGTCAAATGTGTGATTGAAATTATTCCCACAAGTCTTTAGTTTTTTTGGAATGACTTAGGTGTTTGTAATAGCTTTATAGTTTTATGGATAGCACACTCAAACTGTAGGTTAGTTTGTCAGGACTATACTCACTATAATTTGGCAACTATCAGGTGAATGGTAATAAAAATTTGCACCAACATTCATAGTCTTGAGATGCCTCAGAAAAAGAAATATCCAGAGTCTTTGTCTAGCATAAATGAGACCAGCAGAAAAACATGTTACCATAGTGAGCTGCACCTGCAATGTGAAGCCCATTTATTTTTAAGTTGCTGATTGTTTATGTTTTAAAAAATTAAGGATGGTTTAGCTTTTACAGTTACAAGATCATTGCACTTGAAAGACAACTACAAGATTTTGCTTTAACTTTACCTGTACGGATATCAAAAATTGCCTCAGTACCCTTTAAATGTGACATAAGATCTGTGATAACTCTTTACCTTTTCTTCATGCAAGGCTGAAATTGTATGAATTGTAATAGCCTTTAACTGGGTTTATGACCAGAACATGCACCTCCAAAACTGATGTCATACATCACTGCATTACTTCCACTTTGTATGTATTACCTACTAATAGATGTAATACATTAGAATATGCTAAACTAGGCTGCTCTAGTTTAGCATTCAGTTCCAGGCACCGCTGTGCCACACTGTGTATTGTCTTGCAGACCCACTAGCATGGCTTCAGAGTCTTGTTAAATCTAATGTACACATTTTCTTCATATATTTCCCCCCAAGGGTCACACATTTAGCACACTGTACTGCAACAGAATAAGTCACACCATTGCGCACTCATGGACATACACAAATGAAAATTGTCAGACAAGTTCATATAAAGCAAGGATGGAGTTGAATGCAAGAATGCAATGCATTGAACATGTTGGCTAGTTTTCCACGTATTTTAGCATAGCTAAACACAGCTTCTGGTATCAACAATGGACTGTATATAAAAGATGGATGTAGCCGCTGTTACATTACATTGTCTTTAGCTAAGTATTTCAGCCATCGGCATCTGAGCTACTGAACCTAAAAATAACTAAGAAGGAGTGAAGCTGACCGATAAACCGAGAGACACTGAACAGTCCTTCTTGACACCAGTGGGGACCATAATGTACATCGGCAGGTTTTGTTTTTTTAAGACTTTTTAAGACTTCAGCATTAGTTTCCTTTTTTAGACCCAAAAGCTACATCCATCCTTTATATACGGTCTACGGTATCAACAGCTTGGTATGTCATCAGAGAATTGAAGTTGATACCTGGACACTAATGGCACTGCCCCGTCTGCTGCTGTTTTGGCTTTCTGATACCGTCACAGAACTGCTGCACAGCGCATCAAAGCCCAGAATACCCCCAACACAGTCCCCAATAACACACACCTGTATTATAAAGCAAAGCACAAAAACATGAGTATGCACACTAAATCAGCGTTATCTGTACAAGCAGTGCCAATCCAAAAAAACAGAAACCCAACCTGGCCATTAAAAGAAGCTCCTTCCAAAGATCTGATGAAGTCGCTGTACACCTGATTGGCTCGTAAGATGACGGTTGCCACGGCATCTTGGTACTGTGGTGCAGAAGTAGCCAGAAGAGGAAGCGCAGCCAGCGGAATGTGGTCCTGACTGCTGGATAGACAGCTCTCATCGTAGCTGTAGGGGCTAAGACTGCAGAGCAGAGAGAAGTGGCTTTATGTCTATAATCAGCTTGCACGTGTATGACAGCATGTTATTAAAATGCTGCTTGCTCACTTGGACACAAGCGAGAATGCTTCGACACACACAGCAGGACAGGGTACCATTCGAATGGCAATGCGGCCCAGTGCTGAAGGGTAATGGACCCTCATCACAGCCTCAAAAGCTCCACTTAGCGTGTTTACATCTCCCTGTTTGCTGTTCTGTTCTCCTTCAAGAAAAGCAAAGGCTCATTATTAATCATTGCCATGAAACACAATCATAAGGCCTTGCATGTTTGTTTGAAAATTAAAAGACTTACTGTACTGCATAAATGAACATCTCCTATACCGATTGTGTTATTGGTGGGGGCTCGTTCATTTAAATAAATATATACATATAACATATATAACACTTTCCTAGTCTTAGCTAATCATAACTAGCCACTATAATTTTGTTTTAATTCACTTTTCACATGTTGTTTGTTTTAACTATTTGACCTAGCTAAAAACGAACTGCTTTTCATTAGTTAGTTGTTTTTGTTTTCTTTAAAATTACATATTTTATAGTGTAAAAGTATTTCCTGTAAATATCCTGGTAGATAATTGTTGTTATTTTTTCTATGACTGTATGAAATGTATCTAGCCATTAATGTCTTTGTGCTTAGATTATTTCTTTTGAAAACTTTATAAGGCTTTAAGAGATCCTATCGCCTGGTATTTAGTATGAAAAAAAAATCATTTTTCAATCTTTTCTATCCTTGATCAAATTTAATAATGGTTGAATTTTTTTGATAATAAATTAATTTCCTTTTTTCTTCTAATTATTATTATATTGATGTAAATGATATTTTTATCACAGAAAAATGAAAACTTAACTATGCTAATTTTAGCTTTAAGAATGTATTCTTATTATTTTCACTCTTGTACTAAACAATCAGTTAATCCAAAAATAGTCTATAATGTAATCTATAATGAACTTAGTAGTTAGTTTGATTGTGGGAAGAATTTTGAAGGTTTGACTGTACCAGAGCCAGTGTCCAGTATGTTGCCTCCATGCAGGACCAAAATGAGGACATGAATTTTGGAAGGCTGTACACACTGCTGAGATGAACAATCCTGCAGGTAAGAGAAACAGGAAAAAAGCAGGAAAATAAAGGTGGGCTGATAGGGATAGAGACAAAAGGGAGTAAAGGAAAACACTGCAAGCAGTACTTAAAAGGACAAGGACATTATGACATGTAAGAGGAGGAACTGGGAACTGGACCTTCAATTGCAAAGATTCAATTAGTTATCTATAAAAAAAAAAAAGAAAAAGCAAGAAAACACAACATTTTGTGCTTAAATGAGCTATGAGTTCAAAATAATCAAATAAAGTCTAAACACTTTGCTCTAGAGAAGACCAGTGGTGAGCTAGCTACATTTACATTTCATTTTGAAGAGAAAAAAGAAACCCTAACCAGGTTTTCCCCTTTTAAGGACACAACACTGGACAAGAGGAGGAAAAATCTTAAACGTCACTCCTGAAGTTAAATTCTAGGGTCAAGTTTTATTTTGGATTCTAGTTTCACTTCACTGGCGCTATATTGTAGAAGGAACAGTACCATCTACAAGCCATTCAATTATAGGTGTCGGTGTAAGAAAGACAGGAATTAAATGCAAGAACACTGAAAAAATGGCACCTCTATCTGTGTCTCCACATTGACGGCATACTCCCCGACCGACTCCTGGTACAAGGTTTCTGTGAAAACAAATTATGGACTTCATCACTGATGACAGAAGAGATGGCCTAAACTATAAATTCTGAGTCCTGTAGTCCTCAGGATACACTGGGCTTCATTTACAAACAGAGTAAACTGTGGCACTGTTCTCTCTGCGGGGTGAGAAAAATGAGAAAAACAAATACATAAAACATGATGGCAATGGTTGAGGGATTCAAAATGTTTGTAGCCCACCAACCAGTGGGTGATGTCATGGTGACTATGTCCATCTTCGATATACAGTCTGAGTTCACAAAGAGTGCATAGACATAAATCTTAAACTGTGTGTGTCCATAAGCTTTCCGTTTGGATGTTTGCCCAGTAATTGCCGTCAGTCTGATGTAACTGCTGTCATGCTGGTCACGTAGGCCTTGTCTTCCTTCTTTTTTCTGGTCTTTTTTTCTTTTTCTTCCTTCTTTTTTTCCTAGTTTTCTTGGCATGGACTTAAATGTCAAACCTTTCTTATTCTTAAGTGACCCACAGTCTCTATCTCAGGGCGAAAACATCCAACTCCTGGTTATTACAGCCCCTTTGTCACTTCACAGGAAACACTTCTGTGCCTCATCCACATGGAACACTAATGTTTCAGTTCTTCACTTTTGAAATCTTTTTGATTTGTGCTTTAGTAGGCATGCTTCTCATTGAGAATAACACCTTTCAATACAAGATAATTTTCCTTAATGCACACAAGATGATAAGAACAAAATTGGTAGGTGCATTTCTTTCATGACTTTATGTATATCAGTAAATGAAGCCCAGTGTTTTCTTGTTTTGTTTTGGTACACAAAAGCATAAGATTAAGAGTGAGGCAGTCACTTACCTTGTCCTTCATCCACTTCTATTGTTTCTATTTTGTCCATCAGATCATTTGAGCTCCACTTGGTGATTTCCTTGGAAAACATGTCTTCATTATCAGAAAAGTCCTCTGCAAGATACACAGAGGGATTTTAATATCATGGAGACACTTCTCTGATCTGATCAAAGCAGTCAGCCTCATAACACAGATTAAATAACCTAAATTACATCAAAGGTGACTCCTGTTTATGCACTCTTTGAAAAATCAGTCTGTCTATTATGGTTCTCTAAAGGCTGGTTCCCCTGAAACCTCAAACCTCCTCAAAGTCTCCAGAGGTCTTTTTTAAAGATGTGCCTGCAAAGTCCTCTTTCAAAGGTCATTGTTATTCCATCACACCAAGTACTGAGCAAAATGTAGGCACTTTTGTTTGCATTCACACTCACTAGGCAGGACCTTCAGAGAGGCATGTGAAGGTTTCTGAATTTACCCCCTAACCCTCCAGGTTTATGGGTACGGTTAGGGATGGAATTGATTTTAGCAACATGGTAAATACACAAGTTTTTCCAGAAACTAGAAGGCGATCGATCTAATGAAGTCCAACACATTCATTTGAGAATTACAATTTTTCTCATAAAAAATGTGTTTGGATACTCCAGAAACACAAAAACAGGTGTACCTAATAAAGTGACCGTGTATATGGCATTAGTGCGCAGTAACAAGCTGTTGGCACAAATTATTACACCTTTTTCTCAGAAATCACACATTGCTAATAAATTCATTCTAAAAACTAATATAATAAGCAAGTTAAGACATTTAAAAATTAATTTGTGAGACTCTGTCTGGCAGAATAATTTCTCTGGCTTCAACTTTAATAATATTCTTTAATTAACATTTCAGCATTCATTCTTAAGGATAAATACCCACAGGGATAAACGAGAACATTAAAAGAAGCAAGCAGGATTAACAACCTTGAGTTTCTCCATTGTTAATATTTATCATCCCAAAGACACACAGATATGAAAACACATCAATTCATCTTTCAAGATAATGTCCAAATACTAAATTGAATCTGTGGGAACTGCTGAAATGCAAAAATCTTTCTTGTGCATGGGTACAATACTGAATAAATTCATTGGCTCGTGAGCTGTTTATAATGTGTTTTATTCTGCTGATCTTTACCATGAGCATCAAAGAACTCATCATCTGTGCTGTCCTCAGAGTCCCGGGCAATGCTCTGCATCCTCCACTCTGAAATGCTCTGATGAGATGGACTTCCTGTACAAACAAAGATTAACATTGGTGTATTACAGCGTTACCTAAAATTATGGCATGACCAATATTTTAAATAAGTACTTGCACTCATGTCAACAGTCACACTGTAATTCAAGGTATATCAATACAAATATTGTACCACAGACTGTGGTAAAAGCCAGTGAAACACACAAAAATCAGAAGGACATCCTCACCTCCTCGCTTTGATGACCTATTGGAGGATCTAGAGGATGTTGACCATTGTTTTGTGAGCTCCCCTCTTGTCTCAAGTGAATCTCCAAGCTTCCCTCCTGCTCCTTCTGCCTCTGCAGTCGAGCCCACTGTCTCTGCTCCCTGCTCCTGCTCTTGGCTAATGAAGGAGTTGTTGGCTTCTGTTGCCCCTCCTTCATTCAGGCTGTATTGGGCCATCTTCTTTGCTAAGGCCAGCTGGGTCTCCAGCTCCAGCTGCCTGATGTCCTCGATAGTCAGGCCATACCACTCGTCCTGCCAGCACCACGCCTGCCGGTGGGCTCGAACCATGACTTTACGAAGGCCTGCAGGAACAGCAACCAAAATTTAGCGCTAATGAATTATTTTAAGGGCTCAAATCTACAAAAGTGGATTAGCTTAATATCCGTATCATTATAAATCCAATTTACTTTCTTCAGGTATTTACGATTCTCTGTCAGCTATTTGTTATAGGTTTGTCTTGTGTCTTCATCTTGATTTAGTTGATTATTTTTTTACTGCTTTTTTGAAATATAAGTGATCTTTACTCTTTTTTTTTTGGAACGAGAGCAGTGATGGCGAACAAGAACAGTTAGGTGATGACTGTATAATTAACCAGTCAGTTGAAACTCACCATAAAGTGTTTTATCGCCACTCACATCATTATGACAGTCACGTTTTTCAATTTATACATGTGCATAAATTTAAAAACTCAACAGCCATATCTTTTTAAACTGTGCCTAACAGTTGTTTGAGTTGCATAATATGCTTAACTTTTTTCATCCTTATTCTGAGTGTGTATACATGGAATTAAATTGCTTTTGACAGACCGATCCTGGCCTCTGGTTTTTTTGTTTTGTTTTCATTTATATAAACAGAAGTCAGGATTGGTGTGTCAAAAGCAATTTAACTCCATGTATACACACTCAGAATAAGGATGAAAAAAGTTGAGCATATTATGCAACTCAAACACCTGTTAGGCACAGTTTAAAAAGGCCATGTGTCTTGGAGCTGGTGTGTGATAGTATTCATGAATCAGGGGAGATGCAGATGAAGACCCTGTGAATATTTTAGGGCGGAAGCCCAGTAAACAAGTGCAGATAACATTAGCATAAACATAACGTTCAGTGAAAGGCTGAAACGGGAGAGTCACAGAGGAAAATCACATTTTGTGATTGAAGATGTGTTGATTGGACCACTGAGTGAGAATATCATGAAGATAGAGCAGCCGCTGCTTCGCTAGTCTGGAAGTAAAATGCTGTGAGGCAGCATCCTGAGGGCCGTGAAAGTGTATAAACAGTCTTAGATCACAGCAATAAAACAGAAACACACCAACACAGGCAGGAAATTAATCCAGCCTGCTCTGTTATCTCGAGAAGCCAGAAACCTCTCTCTGCTCCCGCCTCTCTGACACTTTCTACACCAGGTATCGTTTGCATTTTTATTAGTTTTTCTTCGACACTTCCTTCTATTTTAACTTGGTTCATTCACATATATGCTTTTACTATTTCTTTTCCATATGGGAAGTGTTTGTTGTTTTGCTCTCTCTCTCTCTTGCCTGTCTGCCTGGGCGGGGCTCAGATTGGGCTCCCGCCCTTGGCCTACGCACCTGCAGCTGATCACCGGTGATTTGCAGTTGATCTCTGGCTCTTCTTAAGGCAGGGGCTCTGAGCTACTTGTCGCTGGAATATTGAGTAACTCTCGTTAGTATTGCCTGTCTCTATAGTGATTCTGTTGTTCCCGTGCTTGCCTTGGCTTAATCCTCATCTCTGTAAATAGGTTTATCTGGATCTGCCCTCATTCGTGACCCCTGGACCCCGTGCGTGAGAGTGGAGCTGCTTGTGTGGAGATTGTGTGGACAAGGAGTGGAGCGAGTATGAAGGCGTGTGTTTCCCTAACCTGTTGACCCCCCGGGACCCTGGTGTTTCCCCCCCTTCACGTATATATAGCTCACCAGTGTGATTAATCAAGAACTGTTTGAAGCGTGCTTTCTCAGTCTGCGCCCGAGTCCGTTCCACCGCCGTGACACAGACTACATTTTGTTTTTGACTTTCTGACTTGTGTTGTGAGGCTTGTCTTTTGTGTCAGCTCTTCTGCGTCGTCCTCACGTGATTAGCTGCATACTGTGTATATCTAAGTGCCTGGTCTGTGTGTATTTCTGTTAGGTTGAAATTGTTAAATGTTGTCATTGTGTTACTTAAATTTGTAAATCTTGGTTCAAACTGTATGATTAAAGACATTTATTATAGGGACACATCCTATGTGAGGGTTCTGTTTTCTTATTTAGTAAACTTCCTGCCTTTATGACCCTTTTGGTGAGCAGGAGGTCACACAAACACAGACACACACACTCACATGCACATGAATACACATACACAGACGCACTTACATACACATACACACTCAATGCCTTAGGGTTTATGATGCACCATAGGCGGGTTTTACAATGGGTGTTTGTGTAAACTGTGTGTCACAGAAATAAAAGGCTGCTGTGGGGTGATGGTTCTTCAAAGTGGTCTGACACCGAGGGCAGAAGGGCTGCTCTGAGATCCTTCCCTTGCTATAGCATGTGAAAAACCGGTTAAGCTGTTCATCTTGCTTCGTTAACGGGAATAAGTCTCTAAATCAGCAGGCCTGTGGAAGCGCAGACCCAACAATTTCCTTTTCCTCTATCAGATTACCTTAATAGGTCTGTGAAGTCTATGAGGTCTATACACAGCCCAACAGAGCTCGGCTTTCTTTGTGCTAGCTGGGTTAAAAGAAATCCTCAAAACTCTGTCAGAGATAATGTGTCTCACAAGTTTAACCGCTGGTGTATCACACCAGCGGTCATCACTTTCTTTCCTAAACCAGGCTTTTTGCTTCATATTCTGTGCATGCTCACATAAAAGGGACATTTCACGAGTCATATAACTCCTCTTCCACACAAAATGATCTCCTTTATCATGTCACCTGCCCCAGTCAGAGATGTTAATAAAGGAAAATAATTCAACGGTGACATAAAAAGACTATAAAAAACATAGCAGTAAAACGCTAAATTAACTCAAGTATAACTCAGGTTTATTATTTTAACATTGAGTAAATTTTTGATCCTGCTGTTTATTCCTATCGTGAGAGCTGAATACTTTAAATGTCAAAGTTTACTGTCTCATAGTCTAATGAAGGAGAAGTGGAAATTGTTTTAGTTTGTCAGCAAATCAAAGTGAAAGTAATGTTATTGATTGAACAGGTGTTCCCGGCCTGTGTTCTGTGTTCTAGTAGCTGCAATTTCAGCAGTGTGAAAGCAACTTGGAGCAGACTAGAATTAAGTTTATTACAATAAAGACATTTATGCTTTTTCTGCATCAACAACTAACTACGTGCAAATTCTAGAGATATTGCAATGCACAGTTTGTACTGCTGTTTACCGATGGTTTCATTTGCAATGTTAGTAAAGCTTAAGAACTTGCACATATAAAACATAGTCACCCAGCACTCGAAAGATGCTCTAAATAAAAAATTTATAGATTTGATTTAGTTAAAAGATTTAATAAAAATAAAGATAAATTACCATGATGATTTAGCCAGGTAAAAAAACAGCCATTGAAAACTTAGATTATAAACTCGACATATCTTGCCAACCTAGCCAGAATCCTCTGGTTTGTTATGCAATTTGTTATATGAATAGATTAACTACCTATGTACCAAATCTTGAATTAACAAATAAAATTGGAATTTTTATCTGGTCTTCCAAGTTGTGCATTTCAGTCCTCTTTAGGATGTCACAGTTTGCAGGATTATTGGACACTGGGATTAAATATTGATATAGTCATAGTTTTTGCTAATCTTTAAGGATCTTTAGGGATTTTTTTGTTTTTATTTTAGCTTCTACAGTTATCTTAGACTTTGGTTTTTCCTTGTATTTCAGTAAAATATATGTCTGTAGGTTGTAAGATCTGAACCACATAAAAACATGCATACACGAAAGCCATACCTACCCACATCATGAATGAAGCGTTCAATCTTAGACTGCATGCCCCAGTATCTGAACTCTACTTTGCACAGCTTGTAGGCACACATAACGGAACTCTGACCCAGGTTCTGGCCAATTTCCTCAATCCAGTCCTCTGACAATGGACCCCGTTTAGTCTTGACTGACTGATACAGCTTAGGGTCTTCTTCCACGAGGTACTCATGAGGAGGTATGTAGTCCTTGACGATGTCTATGGGGTCTACAAGGGAAACAAAGACATAATGAATTGCTAAACTGAGGTAGATTCAAGCAGCAGGTATGTCTCAATGTCCTCACTCACCTCAAGAAAAGAATGTGATTTTATGTGTGTGTCTTTTATGTAATCAGTCCCTGCCGGGATCGTGTCTGGAGCTGACTGCACATTTTCCCTGCACCCCAGTGAATTTTAGTATGCGGAGGCTCAACACAAGCTCTTACACTCCACAGCCTACATCCCCTCTGCACCACACTGTCAGCGCTTTCATTGCAAATAACTCTGTGTAAATTCGATTTCTGATCCTGCTTATGAGGAGACGACGACCAGGCAGTTGATCCCAGAGGCACAATTTTAGCGTAATGGTGCAGAGAGAGTGAGTTTTTAAGTGTGCATGACGATAAACTTACCAATAGTCCTTTGTCTTTTCTCAGCAGAGGACATATTGAAGACATCCACTTGATTTCCAGTATCTGGTTTATAATAAGTCTCAATGTCTATAGAAAATTTCTCAACAAAGGGACAGGTATACCTGAGGAAAGAAAAAGAAATTGTTGCTTTGGATGGAAAAGCAATATGAGCAGCTGGGTCTCCAGAAGTAGAGCCAGTTATCTACAAGATGGGGGGGTTGATGGCTCAATCCCTCTAGGGGAACTATGCTCCCCTAGTTTACATATCAAAGTACCCTTGGGCAAGATGCCAAGCCCTGAATTGACCTCGAAGTATCCATCAGAGTGTGAGTGTCAGTGTGTAAGAATGTTTATTAAGTGCTTAGATGCAGAAAAGAGCAGTTTATATAAAGCAGTATTAGTAGTGCAAGTGTATGCAGGGTGAATGAGCCTTGTAGTAAGAAAACGCTTTGAGCACAAAATCACTGCTATTGAAAGTAATAATCCTAATTTCCAATTCAAAATCATATGAAGTGTGAATGCAGTGTCACAATCTAGGATTGTCAGAAGCAATAGTGAAAAGCTGCTCTGGCATCTTCACATGGTTGAAACAATACAAGAACCAGTGTTTGGGTTCTTTGCTAGAAGTCATTGGTGGTATCATGCATCAGTTAACAGTATCCTTCATCCCAAGTCAATATTAGATCTCATGACCCCCCCAATGATGCATAGGCAATTAGATATCTTCAAGTGAAAGTCAACAGAAACCAAGCACAACAATTCACTGAATATCCCATGCTCAGCATCCTTTCAAGAAATTGCAATGGGCTGCATTTTAACAGCCTGGTCCTAAGACAGGGACCTCCAGGGTGGAAATGGTTAAAGTTACTAGTAAGTGCATCTCCTTTAAAATGTAGCTGAGCATCAGCAGAAAAAAGCCTAAGCTGGAGTAAAGTGCAGCACCTGTAAGCAGAGCTCATGTAAAATGCTGCAAATCAGCATCAGTTGTAAAGTAAAAAGTGGTGCCAATAAAATTCCCTTAACACTTGATGGGCTTAGAAAGCAGTTGGAGTGGCTGGTTCCAACATTAAGTCATCAGGAGGATATTCAAAGTTGGTAGCAAATGAATATGTGGTCATGCAGCTGAAGTTGTTGTATTTAAAAAAAAGAAAGAAAGAACACACTGCCATCAGCAGATAATAATAAAAAGAACATAATAAAAACCATTAACAACATTTTATCTCTGAAAGGTCAGCATTTCTACTTCAGATAAAGCCAACCTCATGTAACGTACGCTTAAGCATTAAGAGGGAGCAACTGTTTTACAAGAGGCACAGGGGGACAGTTTTATAATGTGTTCCCCAGAAATAAAATTCCATCACTTTATTTTCTGTATCTGTGGTTCCCTCACCGGGTTCGCGTATAGGGGTAAGCATTCCAAGACTCCTCTTCCACTCGAAGGGCAGCTTGAGGCAGAATGGCACAAAACCAGGATGGGATGTGTTTGCCGATGTGATAGACCTTGTGAGTGTACTGACCCGAGCCGCCAGGGCCATCCTCATATGGTTTGTTCTCCAGGATCTCCACCCCACTGCCCTCACCACAACTTTCTTGTCTGCTCTTTTTCTGCAAGACAGCAAATATGAAGAGGTCTAAAGTATAAAGCTGTTGAGATTAATCAAGATGCAAATAGTATGTGTAAAAGTACTCAATATACAGCCACAATGGTGTTACATTAGTATCACATACACACATTATATTAATAATAATAATGTAGCATCAGCTAATTTTACATGTATTTGCATGTTATACTCTACTGGACTCCAAAAGTGTTGGATCACATCAAAACCCAAGATATTTATTCGTAAGCCTGGAATTCAGAAATATTTCAAAACACAAGAGATGAAATGCAAAAAGAACTTCAGACAATTAAAACAAATTTTCTCAGTGACCATAATTCCTTAGTACAAAAGGTCAGATTCCCTCAAGTTATATTTTTGTCTATATAAGCAGTGTTCAGACGAAGCTCAGGTAGAAGCTCACATACAGTTAGGTCCATAATTTGTTGAACAAGGACACAGTTTGTCTCTGTACACCACCTCAGCAGTATCCCTCAGTATTGGTCTCTGAGGAGATGTAGTATCTTTAAAGCATTTTTCAGTCGGGGGGGAAAATGTCCAACACTGGAAATATACTGCAGTAACAGAAAGAGATTTCCACCTGCCTGAACATGTTGAACATTATGACAATGGCTATCCTCACTGACATTACAAGAATTCATTTGTTACACGTTACAGTTCTGTTTCCTCTTTATTAGGGGTGTGATTGTACACTTTAGATCCTGCCTCCAACATACAAAACCTACATGACTTCACTTCCACTTTCCCATGCTGTAAAACTCAGTGCTGACATCATTGCTGTAGTCCAATCATCTTTCTGCCTCCCTTCACTCTGAGTGAACTCAGCCCACCTTCAATCAGTCTCCTCTCTGCATATTTTAAATCACACCACTCATCTTTCATTCTCCCTTGCAGACTCCTTCGTGCAACCCAACTTCCCCTCATCTCTGCCTTACGCAAGTCACTTCATCCAAGTTTTCAACTTATCCTGTCCTAATTCATTTTATTCTACTGTGATGGGTCATCGGCATCTAATCGCCAAATACCATAACTTAAAATCATCATGAATTATGTTTAGTTCTCTCTATTGATCTCTCCTCAGTGAAATAAGACATATCCCAAAAGAGCACCTTTGTTAACTAAGAGTGGTGTAATTTCAAAAAACACTTTTTTCTTTGTTAATTTCAATGAATCGCTTAAATAAGCATGTCTCTGAAAATAACTCTGTTCCTTCATATTCTATAAAGAGCCAAGAGTGTTTCTTATCATTAATATCCTGTCAACTATGGTATGTTTTTAGGGGACTAATAAATCGAAATAACAGATCACTTGCAAAAACTGGTATCACAAGCTTTTTATACGGCTGAATGATAAAGGTCCTTAAATTGTACTTTTCCTGGCTCAGACCTTGGTTTTGATTAATGAACAACTTGCAGCTGGGACTGGTGTCCACACACTCGCTTCTTTCTATAAACTTCCAATTAAACCCCTGCTAGCCTTACGCAGCACTCCTGTCTGTCACTGCCCAACCTTGTGATTACATCACAGAGCTGGATGATGCAGCAGAGCCGATGTGATGAGGTGGAAAGAAAAAGCTGCCACATGGAACAAGAAAGGTCTGCCTCTCCATTCAATAAGACACCAGTTTTCTCTACTTCGCCCACCCTATTCCTCTACTGTTCAGAGTTTTCCATCTTCTTTGGCTTTGAACAACACCTCTGTTTGATGTTACACTGTGAAGAGTTATGTTAACAGCAGATTCAGTTTGCGTATTTTGAGTAGATCTTGCTTTAAATGCAGCATTTTGCAGATTTTCCTCAGGTTAGGAGGATCGTCCTCATTAGGAGGAGCTTTCAGGTGTTTTATGAAGTCTCAGTCCTAGCTCATCACTGAAAGAGGAAAGCTGAGTCAGCGTGATCTAGTCTGAGCAGATTATCTGATCTGATGCCTTATGCTAAATGGGAATATTAGTAGGATAGTCTTCGACCTGTTCTACATGATAATAGGTTTGTAGAAAATATTGTTTTAGGGCAAAAAAACTGAATAAAAACTCATTGGTTACCGGGTGATTGCACAAATTTCTTTTCACATTTTGTGAATGATTTCAAGTAGCTGCAAAAAGCAACTGGTCACCCAGAAGTTGAGCGTGCAACACAACACCTCTGGCCAACTACTTTTGATCAAAAGGTGATTTCACAGGTCACTTAGTGGGAAGCAAAATATTTGTTACCAAAAAAGTCAGTTCATTACAAATTAAGGTTTGGATTTCAATGGAATATCCTGAAATACCACCAAAACAATACATTTCTGATTGTATTTTTTACGCATCTATATAATAACAATCTGAGAAGTGCATAACAGTAGATCATACAGTAATATTTTGAATCTGTTATCAACCTCGCATCTTTTCATCTAATCCAGACTAAATGAGACAGACATAGGGGAGGTAAAATCAGCATGGAACTTCCTCCAATAAAAGGCAGCAGATGGTTCAGCCACATAGATCCCACCGAGTGTTGTATTAATCCTGCTGCTCTACAGACAACTGGTCTGGAATTACAGTTTCCGTTTATAAAGAGCCTACATCTCCTTACAAGGCTCTCCTTTTGTACACATCCACCTTTATGTGGCTTATTAAATATATGAAAACCCTCCAGGATCTGATAATAGAAGCTCAGTTACCTACATAAGAATCACAATCTACCAGGGTGGAAAGGGAACTTAAAATTTTAACATCTGCCAGCCACTGGCAGGCAAATGTTCACATTCACACAGTAAAGGATTGTTTGGTGTTTAAAACCACTTTTATATTTTACCATCCTTTGGCTTGTGACTGGAGCTAATTTCCAAAATGACTGCAGTGATTACATGAGAGATATCCATATTACTGGATTTAGTTCTTTAGTTTTTCAGAGGGTCAGCGACTTTCATATAATTAACCTGCCATGCTTGGTTGAATATTTCAGACATAATAACACTGGTACAAAACTGTAGCTGGGCAGACTCATATTGGAACAGAAAACATTGAAATTGGAGTCTTGAAAAAAAAAGAAAAAGAAAACTTATTACCGCCAGCTAATAACTATCCAAGTCAGCACTGACACCATGGGTGCGGTGCATACATGTGTCATATAAACAATAGTCTATAATACTGGAAAATAAAAGAACTTTCCAAAAGAATATGTGATAATATGTTTATCTTTTTATACGTCTATATGTCTATAAGGACACTGATAAAGGGCATGGCTGCTATAATACACAGGTGTGCCAACAAAGGGAACAACAGTATCGCTGATTTGTATCTGCTAAGCCTGATCTTTGCTAATTCTAGTCACTGAAATGGACATGTTGATGTGTTTGTGGCGATAGCACCTTTTGTAGCACAAATAGAATGTTTTGCTGTGTGGCACAGCTAGAAAAAGACAGCTGCAGTTCAGTTTTGTTGAGTGAAATTTGATGATTTTATTTGTCTGATACTAATGCACCATTACCAATCTGTTTCTCTTTGTTGGACCCACATAGATTGTGGATGGAGATGCACCCCAAACTTCCTGCTAAGTCATCTGCTCTTTTGCTCTCTGTTATCTGGCTCCAAAAGTTAACATGGCAACAGTAAGAGCACTGATATTTCAAAATTCAGATTCCAGAAACCCCTGGTTGATGGTTATGTCCATGTTTGTTGTATGTGTATGACACCACAGTGTCAACCTAGGGCAATATGAAGATCTGGGGTCTCAGGGTTGCTGCCCATGCACTTTTAGCGGCAGTGATATACTAGTGATGTAAGAGTTAATTATCAGGTGTTACATTGTTCATGCAAACTGGGTATTTCTGGCTACAGGTTTTGCATCTTCCTACTCATTCAGCATGAATGACTGCACTGGCATTGTCTTGTGATTTTTGAAACATGATTGAAAAATGATTGAAAAGGCATTTCATTCCTGCCACTGTAATATGCTGCAGGTCGAGGAACGCACAACATGAATACAAATCATCATGATCATTACTAACGGCAAGAGTGGGGTGTTCAGGGTCAAGAAGGAGAGCTCAGATTGCAAAATGAGCTCTCTCTACTGAAGACTTTAGGGAGGTAATATCAGTAATGAAGGTCAGAGGAGGCAAACAGCTGGAAAATTGTAATAATCTAGCAGGTAATGTAATTTAGGTGAGGTGCTAAGAGCCTCAAATTACCATCCTTCTGTTTGCATACCTTCTGGGAAGTGAGCACACAGGATCTGTATTAATAACACTCATCTTCAATCCCAGAGCAGAAAAGAGGTACAGTGTAGAATATACAGGGTGCTCTGTGAATCTTTATTAACCCTTT